TTAGAACCCATCGACCCTCCTATATTTTTCACAGCTTACAATTCAAATATTCCATCCAATCCCGTCCCACCAGATCTCGTACTTCCGACCTCTATCCTCCTCCTCACCGAACTGCTGCGTTTGACAAATCCTTTGTAATACAAGCCGCCTCCCTCTGGAATTCCATCCCAGCTGATATTCGACACGCTCAATCAGTTTCCTCGTTTAAACCTCTCCTCTTTAAGCACCTACTCCTTTCTCAATCCGAATGATTGTGATATATATCTAAGAGAAATATCTGAGCACCACCAGAGACTACCTCAATTTATTAAGGTTATTTTAGTTTCTCATACATATGTACAATTTACTTGTTCTTTTCTTTCTCTTTTCTGTATTTTTATCGTAAGTCAACTTTCATTGTAAATATACAATTTAATTGTAGCCACACAGACATATAATCTGTATTCATATTTTGTTCTTAAGGGACAACAGTCCCAGAATAATAAAACATTTTTTTTCATTTCATTTCATTTCATATTGCTCACATCTCTCGAAGGTCAATTGGTACCTTGAAACGATTCCATCGCTTCCGTCATCTCCTACCTATACCCACACGTAGACTCCTAGTATTGTCCATCATCTTCCCCCACCTTGATTATGGACGTTCCTGTGTTTCTCACCACTATGCTCAGTTAGGGTGGCTCTTCCCTTCCTTCCGAAGGCAATATTTCCTGAGCATTCCTTTACCAAATAATCTATAATCATCGTCCGTCTTACGCATACAATCTCCTACAATTCAAATCATCAATCCACACCCACTCCACAAGATCACGTCCTTCTGACCTTTACACTCCTTTACCCAAATCTGCCTCATTTAACATTCCTTTGTTATCCGTTCCACTGCATTCTGGAATTCCATACCATTAAAAATCCGCCATGCACCATCCTTATCCACATTTAAAACAGTATTATTCCAATTCCTCTTCACAATTCAATCAGATGCTGGCTAAGTATATATGATGCAAGAAGGTTTTAATTTTCTCTATACATTTTTTTTTTTCTCTTCTGTTTTGAGTATGAAACAGAATTTTGATCACCTCTCACAAAGCAGTGTGAGTAGGTATATTTTTTTGTTTTTTTTGTTTTTGTTACCTTTTATCTTTTCTATTCATAAGAGTGTATTTTATTTTATTTAAAAGTATTTTATTTTTTACTTATCTCCTGCAGCACTCTCCTCTCTATGTGGGCATGATGATTGATAACAGGTAATTATTCGCAAATTGTTTCTTTATCCATAGCCTCAAAATTACAAGCATAATCGGTAATTGCACTTGCCACTCTCACCTTGTAAATATTGTGGTCAGGCTTTGATCTGCTGCCTCCAAACAATCCATGAACAATAGTTTGTGTACCAACAGGTTCATAACCTTAAAGAGAGACCATTCGTTTACTGATATATGACCTTTACGAACCATCATCAAAAAATAAGCGACAAGGGTATTCCGTTTCATCATTTTTTAACTTTACTTTCAAGGTTTTTAAATATATCTCACTACTAAGTATGTTCGTCAAACATTGTTGTATTTTTGAACCAGAGCTAACTGAGCTGTTCAAGTCAAGACCAAACCAAGTAATTCCCTGACTAAAGTTATATCAATAAACCTTCCCTACCGAATCTGTTTTTTAATTGTTCAAATACCTAAGGGCAATTCTTGGATGATGGAGGGAAACTTTCAACAAGTTCTCGAGCAGGAGATTTTTCTACAGTAGCCTGAAATAAATACTGAAACTTCTCCTCATTGTCCAGTTCTTCACTTTCATGTACCTTCTTAAAACTGGCCCAAAAACTTATCCAATTACATAGACTGCCATCATATTTTTTTCAGCCAAGTTTTGGTAACCTATAATTTTTCTTATTGGTTAATCTCGATTCTGATACATTGCTTGAGACCTGTGTTCTTTTAATAGTTATTTTATCTTTCATAGAGACAGCCGAAAGCCATTTTTCTTTACAAGTGTCTAAATCATCAAATTCTTTTTCTACTAAACTGTCATCCTCAACATGAGTAAACAAAAGTTCTTTTATCTGGGCGTCAAAACCAAAGAGTCTCTCCGGTTTGTCATTCAATTGCAAAAATGATGCTGAAATGTCATATAAGTCGCAATCCTCTTCTTCGGACAATCGGATAAAATCATTCGAGGTAAATCTTTTCCATACATTAGTCCTTTCCCTTTTTAAATTATCGAATGCACTCATCTTATATTCAATGAATAAATTAACTACTTACCCGCTCCCCTCAAGGGATGCCAGTATCTTTTATAATACAAAAGATGAATAACAATGGGAACTTGTAAATAAAGTAGTGATTGAGTGCACTTTCAAAAAAAAACAACACAAAACTATATTTTATCAAATTTTGCAAAGCAGAGATTTTTTTAAGAACACAATTCTTTCTAACTAACAATAATTAAGTAACATCTGTTTTTTTAAACAACCTTTTATAATAGCTGTTTTGCCTGCAATTAAAAATAATACATTTCACATTGTATTTAAAAGTAAAAAAATCAAACATTCACGGTTAAAAAATTCCCGAACAAACATATTTTTTAACTTGTTCATTGAAAACTATTACAATCTGTCTCAAAGGATATTTATAATAGTGTTCAAAGATCACATGCAAACTCTATGTACAATAAATACAAATAAATTATACAGAAAAATAATATATATATATATATATATATATATATATATACAATAAATAAGAATAAAATAACCTATAAATAAATAAGAAAGAACACATATATACCTACATACACTATTTACAATCAAGCGAGAGAACTCCGAGCCAGACTTGTCCCTCCAACTATGGAGGGAATAGCATGACTCAAGGAATTCCTTGCACTTCTCTCTCAACCACGTCACTGGGGCTAAACCCAGTGGAGATTGAGCGAGTGTGCTTTAGCCACATACACTCATGTCGTGAATGGAGAATCTGGCCATTACCAGAACTCCAATATTTATGAACTATAAAAGATCGTGGGGCCACTGCCGTTTTAACCTTCTTGGAGGATTATAGGGATGGGTGTTGCTGGATAGGGATTGTGCAAAGGGATTCGGATGAAAGGTAAGGGTTTGGTGTAATTTGAAGAATTTTGCTGGGATCAGGTCTAGGACAAATGGGATATTAAGGTCACGGTGTAAGGTTTTGTTGGTTACATAGAAAGGAGCATCGACTATTGTTCGAAGGACTTTGGACTGGAAGGACTGGATGCGTTTGATGTTAGAAATGTTTGCTGTTCCCCACAGTTCAAGTCTGTAAGTCCAAGTAGATTTCAGTATTGTCTTTTAGATAAGTATTTTATTTTCAATAGAAAGTTTAGATTTTCTATTTAGTAATCTATTTAATCGGCCATATCGTCGGTTAAGTTCCTGTCTTTTAAGTCTAGTATGAGGGTTCCACGTTAGTCGTCTGTCTAAGAGGAATCCAAGATACCGGACTGTGTCTGAGAAAGGAAGCTGGATAGAATTAAAGTGTACTGGTGGACATAAACTGCGTCGGAGTGTGAAGGCATTTGGATTCATTTACTTTAATAAACCATTTATTACACCAGTGCTCAACAAGGGAGAGGTGTCTTATAAAATATAGTTAAATATAAAATATGAAAGAATTTGATAGTTAAATAAAGGAAAAATAAGAGATCGTAACGGAGAACAGTTGTAATTGAGGAACCAAAGGAATAGGAGCGCACCCGAGCTCGCCCGAAAGATTAGAACACGCTTCCATATGTAATATGAGCTTAGCATCAGTAGCGACCATAGGGTGGGGCGGCCGAGGCAACTGCCCCGACGTCGGTCTGGAGGGGCTATTGGGGGCCGACCGATTTTCAGGAGAGCTCGCCACTTGTTAGATATAAAAAAAAATACAAAACGGATTAAAATAATTAATTTAAGCCGTTATATTAAGCAACTGCATGAGAGAAATGTTAAATGAAATAAAATTCAAATATTACCTAATATAAAATAGCTTAAGAAATAAATTTAATTTTTTTAGGGAGGAAGGTGAAGATAATTTCATTGCTTAAGGTCGCCACTGCTTAATATAATAAGGAATTCGACAATATTATGTAAATACACATATGCGGTTTTCATAAATATTGTTGTTAGTATTTTTTAATATTTAATTGTATAGATCACAGCGATATAAATATTAAAATTTTTGTATATAAGGGTTCTTATACAAATAAAAATACCCACGATAAAATATAAATCAATATAGCGTTTATAATGTTTACTTTCACTTCCCCTTTGTCTCAAAAACACTTATTTCTGACCACAGGCGGATCTACGGGAGGCTTTCATGCTGAAGCCCCACCAAAATGGTAAAATGTAACCATGTTTTATGGTAAAAATATAAAAGAATTATCTCTTAAAGTATTATTGTTCGTGAAATTACATTTAATAGGACTTCAAGAATCACTTAAACAACATTTTATGTAGGTAGTCAGTATCTTTCTTTTTTTTTTTAAATAATTATCGTTATATATATATATATATATATATATATATATATATATATATATAAATACACTTCATATATATGAAAAAAGAACTTTCGGGCTAAAGCCCCCCTAAAAAAAAAAAAATGAAATCCTGGATCCGCTAGTGTTTCTGACAATAATCCTGCTGAGTGGTAAGTGAAAGTTGTGTGATGCGCGCATCGCACTAGGTTTTTTTATTGTTGTTTTGAGTGTCTTTCTGCGGGTATATCTCTGGATTCCCTCGATTTTTATTTAACTATAAAAACAATCGTTACCTTTTTAACTCAAGTTCATAATTCACCATCCTGTATTCATAATTGAATGTAACAAAGAAGTTTTCAACAAAAACTTATGTTATTGATATTAACCATTTTATTACTGACTATTTTTTATTTTGTAAAATACGAACAATAATATATATATATATATATATTATTGTGTATTATATATATATATATATATACCCGCTGACAGTTTAAATTGACATAGTGTACTATAGATAAATTAATGAAAATATTTATGGTTCTTTTCCACCCTGATTTATAAGTTTTTATTATATTATATTTTTAAAATTTATTGATTAACAAAATTGTAAATTGTAATGTATGTTGAATAGTACTACAAGAGCTTTGAAGTATATGCGGATGAATACATGCTATTGAATTATCCAGTCACTATTGGTGTCTCTCAGATTTTCGTAGAGTAACTGATTTGTTCAGTCTTTAACGTGTTTAATACTTTGCCGTGGGATAAGATACTTAGTAGTTAGCTTTTCACCATTTAAAAGAAAAAATACCAAAAAAAAGCATGTCGGAGAGAGAAGATAACGTGTACAAAGCTAAATTGGCAGAACAAGCAGAAAGATATGATGGTAAATATATTTTATAAGTTTTCATTCTGCCTTCCAATACTATACTTTCGTAGTTTGAGTTTATGCAATTACTATGTAATTGAAATCGAACATTTATTGGTTTTAATAATACTTTTTAAACCATATGATTTACTTACAATACTTTTTACTGAGTTTAATTGTTGATCTGTGTGTATAGGTTACTTTAGTTAAGAAAAAAGGATAAGTAACAAGAGAACATTTTTTATCTCTATTATATTTTGGAGTCAATACTTATTTAACTTACTATAAATTTCTTCTTTATAGATGTCTATTAAATACATATTAGGGATGGTTATGTTGAAATTTGATAGTCACACAGGCATTCAAGGAATGTTATTAAAAAGACATAGCACAAATCAAGAACAGTTTTATGCATCAATTTAAACATTGACAGTGACATTTTTCATTGAAAGGTTCCAATTTTTAATTTATATTTCCTTTACAATTTTCTTCTTAATTGGTTTGTTTAAATAGTCAGATATTAATAATGTCAATGAATAACTTTTTCATTCTATTGATTGTGTCGTAATGAATTTAAGTTTTTAGTATTGTAGCTGTATGAGTGAGTCATGATAATGTTTAGGAAGGTGCTAACACAATCAGTTTTTTTAAACACTACTTAGCTTAGCCTAAGGTTGTTGATGTGTGTTTAAGTAGTTTTAGTATTTTAAAAACTATTTCATGTTTCAAAGAAATAACATATTAAATGTGATAATTATTTAATTTACTGTATATCAGCTTATATTTTGGTGTTTGATTAACTGAGAATCAAATTTTTCATATGTATGTATATTAATGGTATATGTTATTTATATAAATAACGTGCATGTTTGCTTTGATTGTGACGTTAAAAAAAAATAATAGTATTTCTAAGTTTTTGAAAAGTAAATCTTATATAACGTATTTGTCATATATTAACAAGATTTATAATTAACTAATCTGTGTTTTATGCATTAGTTATTTTTAGTAATAAGTCTTAGTTGCTATGAATATTAATGGTTACTTAGTCAGGATGTTGCTAATTTGGTAATGGTTTGATTAGTAGAATTTCCAAAATTTTTTGTAGTGATAAAATCAATTTATACCAATAGCATATGAACTATATAATTAGAGTCAAGATATTTATGATACAGTACGGAATCAAAAGTGATAAAAAAAAAAAAAATTGAATGGCTTGAAGAAATGAATAAAAAATGAGAAGGAAATATTCTTTTTGAATTCAACTACATTCAACCTAACCATCTCTGATTTGAATATATGCTCTCTTATGTCTAACGAAGATGTGCACAAATTATATTTGTATTACCTTCTAGAAAAATGTTTTTAAGCTGTTGAGCTTTACACTAGTTAGTAAACTTGTAATGTGTATCTTAATATACTGCTTACTTATTAATTTATACTAATGAATTATAAATGAACCTTGGTTTGGGAATCAATCTTGGATATTAAAAAAAAAAAATCTTTTTTATTCTAATAACATGTATGCACCGGTCTAACCATGTCAGTCATCTTTAGGAATTTGAGTACAGACTGCTTTCACACCAATCAAGAACTAATGTATAGGTGAAATACATAAAAAGTACTATGTTGTATTTCTTTATTCTTAAATGCTGCTTAAAAATGGTACTAAAATGTATCATATTTGTATATTCAGTATAATTTCAAAATAAAAAAGAACGAAACAAAAATAGGTTTCCACAGTTACAAGTTAAACTTTGGGAACTATTGGTTACAATCAAACAATTTACCGAAAGTAATAGATCAAGCTAATGCAGAACATTTATTTTTCCCTTAAGCACTCGTTGAAAATTAATTTTATTCCAACCATCTGTTGTCACGTAACGTTTTATTTCAAAAACCTCTGGTTATTGTCGGACTGGGATTCTTAGATGACACTTCAGTAAAAATAGATTATTGAACTTTTATTCATTAAACTTTCCTTCTGAAACAAATAATTTCTAATTGTTGACAAAGTGGCATTTTAAATTGATTGAAATTGAAATTTATTCTTCTGTGTTTGACTAAATGACTTAACATCCCGCATGAATTTGATATTGATTTATAAAACGAAGCATTATGTCTTCACCTCATAAAAGAAAAGTTTTATTTTCCAAAACTACTCAGTTTACAAATCTGTTCCAGTATAAAATAAGTCAATAAAGCCTAAAAAAAAGAAAGAAAGGATTTTGTCTCTGCCAGTACTCTTGAAATAGAAAGTGTTGGGGCTATTGGTATCATTAGTGTTAATGCATAGAGTTTATCGGAATACTAATAAACTGATTTAAATGTCTTGTAAAATTGTCTGTGTCTAGTTCACTTTAAACTTTCCTCCTCATCTTTATATTTAATTTGTTGAGCTCTTTCACTAGTTAAATGCATCATAATACTAGGAGACTGTTGGCAAAGAGTGTAATTTGGTGGGTCGCCTAAGTAATACATTCCAGGAAAACAGAGATATGTGATGAGAACATGCCATTTCCTGGAATATATGCAGTGTACTTCATCATGAGAAGTACTAGAATAAAAGGAAGTAACTGTGAGTTGTGGATAATTTAAGGCTTATCGGTACGTTTGGGTAATTTGCTCTTTAAACAAAAGTAATTTACTCTTTAAAAAAAATTTATCATACTTGATTTTCTTTTTAACTCCATGGTTGAACATTTTACATACATTAACTAAAACTTACAGACTATTTTTATTCTTTTTATTTTTGTAAAGTTTATTTTGTATTGTTTAAAAGTTTTGGAAAACCTTCCTTAATCTTTAATAAACTTTAAAGTAAATTCTTTTTGTTCGTTTGTCATCTTGATATTGTTTGAAAACTTTTGTTGCACGGTAATCTACTTAGTTAGTAAATTATTTTCACATTGTGGTTAGTAAATTATTTTTACATTGTGCACTATGCTTTTAACTTAATGATGCCCTTAATGATCCAGAAAAGGCACAGTGTGTACATAGCTCGAGGATATTCTTAAAGCTGTCACAATATGTGGAGATTCTACTTCTGAACATTTTGAAAAATGTCAGTTTCGTCTCATATTACATATGTACATACTTGTAATTACATATGTAAAAGAAGAATGTAAAAAGATACCAATGGATTAGCATGAGTCTTAAAACTTCTTAGTAGTTTTAGGGTCATATTGACTCCTCCAAGTCCATAAATGCATCTCCTGGCCTGCTCATTCATTATACCAACTTACTCTTATTATTAATTATTGCTAAATTTTTCATTATGTATGTCAGTCAGATGTTTCTTAAGTGGTCTTAAACTTCTGATTTACTTATAGTCTGTAGGCCAGACCCCCCTACCGTGCACCCACCACATTTCTATAAATTGCATATCGTTGTGTTCCTTGTAACTATTTATTTTAGAAAAGCTAATTTTTCCTTTAAAAAAAGTGAACGCACTGCCCCAAACATGGCGGACTGACGACTTTGACTTAAGTTAGTTTTTTGGTCTCTGAGAATCAGCATTTGGCTTAATTTTGTCATAGTTGGTCTTTTATTAATGCTGGATAGTTAGAGAATAATAAAACATGAAAAAATATAAAAAAATAATTGGCTTAGGCAATAAAAAAACACTAGTAAAGTCAATTATTTTAACAAAAAAATTTTCAAGTTGAAAATCAAGCGTCGTTTGTAGTTATACGGCCAACAATAATGGAAAATGTGCAGAAATAAAACATCTGGAGAATATATTTCTCTCTCTAAAACGCTGATTACTTTTAAAATATTTGAAGCAGTTCCGTATAAAATGCACTGAAGTTGTATAGGCATATGACGCTACAGGCCTCTACCATACCATTCAGTACTCAAATGGCTTAGTTATAGTCCTATAATAACGTTTTTGATACATTATATTGATTGTATTTACGAACAAATATTAATACAATAATTTAGTTGTCAAAAAAATTAAACAATTTTTTTTAAATACATTTTTTTTTTTAATTTAACTTCCTTTATTCAATCTATACGGAGGTCGTTTGAGAAGGTCTCTATTGTACAAATGATCTAATTATAATAACTAACTAACTCCCCGGCGCTACAGGCCAGTATCCTTGGCCTCCTGAGTTATTTTTTTCCATTTCTCTCTGTCCTGTGTTACTCTCTTCCAATTGCGAACTCCTAGCTTCTTCGCATCTCTCTCCACTTCATCCTTCGTTCTGCTTCTCGTTCTTCCTCTTTTCCTCTTCCCACTGAAGTGTGCTTTCAATATTTTTCTCTGCACCCGTTCATTCTCGATTCTGACTACATGTCCTGCCCATCTAAGCCTACTTGCCTTGATATAGTTAGTAATGTTTTGTTCCTCAAGTATAGCCTCGATTTCATTGTTACTTTTGATTTTCCACTCACCATTAACACTTGTAGCACCGTAGATCCTTCTTATTATTTTCCTTTCAAATACTTTTAGTTTACGGCAATCCTCTTGCGATAAGCACCAGGTTTCCGCTCCATAGGTGACTACTGGTCTAATAAATCGTTTTATACAGCTTTATTTTTGTGGCTTTTGACAATAATGGAGACTTGAGAAGTTTTAGGTTTGCATAGTAAGCTCTATTACCAGCCATTATTCTGTTGTCTATTTCTTTGCTGATTACATTTTCATTATTTAGGGCCAAACCAAGATACACGAATGTGGGTACATTTTCGAACTTAAAATTCTTTATTGTAATTTGATTGCAGGATCTTCTACTTGCTGCCGAGGACAGTTTCAGGTATTTAGTTTTGTTTTCATTGACCACAAGTCCTACTTTGTTGCCATTTTCGTACAAAATCTCAAATGCCTCTTTAAGTGCCTTTTCACTTTGTGCAGCTATCACCAGGTCATCAGCGTAAGCACAACTTTGCCAGGCCAGGTCTTATCAACAATGGTGCTTTTTTAGCTGCATCTTTCACAGCAGCATGCAGAGCTATGTTGAATAGTGTTGCCAATAATGCATCTCCTTGACGCACTCCAGACTATACCTCGAACAATC